CGGCCTGGCCGGACTACAACTTGTCCATCCGGTGCGACCGCAGGTAGCCTATCCTTCGCCGAATGCACCTCGCCAAGACTTCGCTTGAGCTGCGAAACATTTATGACCGGATGTATATGAGAATTGCTCAGCAACTCAAGTTGATAAGAAACCTTCCCGATCCTGGTCAAAATTTTATAAGGCCCATAGTAACGAACCCCAAGTTTGGTCGCGGCCTTTTGCGCGGCCATCCGCTGCCGAAATGGCCTTAGTTTTAAGAACACCAAGTCCCCGGGCTTGAACTCCTCGTCGCGCCTCTTTCCATCGTGGTACGCCTTCATTCGATTGATCGAGCCCTCAAGTGTTTTCTTAAGTTCGCGTAACATCAAGTCGCGCTCGACCAACTCCCGATCCACCTCATCGTTCACGACACCACCCATCGAGTAGCTCACAATTGTCGGAGGTTTGCGCCCGTACACAAGCTTGAACGGCATTGCCTTGGTCGAGCTATGGTAAGTAGTGTTATACCAGTACTCGGCCCAAGGCAAGTAACTCTCCCATTTTTTTGGAAATTGATGCACATAACACTTAAGATATTGCTCGAGCGTGCGGTTGGTCACCTCCGTTTGCCCGTCGGTTTGCGGATGATAGGCCGAGCTCATGGATAGCTCGGTCCCTTGCAACTTGAAAAATTCCGTCCAAAAGCTACTCATAAAAATTCTGTCACGATCGGACACAATGGAGCGCGGTACTCCATGTAGCTTCATCACGTATTCAACAAATAACCTTGCAATTGACTTAGCCGTGTACGGATGCGTGAGAGGAATAAAATGCGCATACTTGGTAAGGCGATCGACGACCACCATGACCCCATTGAACCCATTCGAAAGCGGCAGGCCCTCGATAAAATCCATGGTAATGTCTTCCCAAATTCGCGCTGGTACCGGCAATGGCTGAAATAACCCTCCCGGTCGCCGCGAATCCGCCTTTGTGCGCTGACACTCATCGCATCGCGCGATATAGTTGCGCACGTCTCCTCTCAGTCCCGACCAATAAAACGTGCTTGCAATTCTCATCCAAGTCCGGAACACTCCCGAATGTCCGCAAAATTTTGAGTCGTGGAAGTGTTCAATAACACGCTCACGCAATGAGCCTGTCTCGGGCACGACAACTCGTCCGTGATAAAGGAGCAGGCCATCGTGCACATCGTAGTCGTCATCCTTGTCCTTGATCTCGATCACCTTCTTCACTGTGTCTCGGCAATGGGTATCCTCCTCTTGCGCTTTCCGGAGTTCGTCTCAAACAGCCCATGTTGGTCCTATCACGGCGTCGAGCTCCGCAACATCCTCTCGCCTAGACAATGCGTCGGCCACGGTGTTTTGGCGACCGGGCCGATACACTATCTCGAAGTCGAACCCCATTAGCTTTGACACAAACTTCTGCTGCTCGGGCGTCACGATCCTTTGCTCGAGTAGGTGCTTGAGCGGCTGTTGGTCCGTGACAATGCGGAAGCGTCGCCCAAGTAGATATGGTCTCCACACGTGCACGGCCTCGACCACGGCCAACATCTCCTTCACGTACGCGGACAGCCTCAAGCGCGCCGGCCCAAGAGCCTTGCTAAGATAGGCCAAGGGCCGCCCTTCTTGCACTAGGACCGCTCCGATCCCAATGTCGCTCGCGTCCGAGTGAATCTCGAACATTACGTCAAACCTCGGCATCGCGAGCACGGGCGTGGTCGTCATGGCTTTCTTCAACTCCTCTAACGCTATCTCGCTCGCCTCGGTCCACTTGAAAGCCCCTTTCTTTGTTATCTCCGTGAGTGGCTTAGTGATAGTCCCATGGTCCTTCACGAATTTGCGATAATAGCCCGTAAGTCCTAGGAATCCTCGTAATTGCTTCAAGCTCGCGGGCTTCGGCCACCCCACCATCGCCTCGATCTTCCTTGGGTCCACCTTAACACCATCATGAGAAATAAAGTGCCCAAGGTACTCGACCACCTCTTGAGCAAACGAGCACTTGGACGGCTTGATATAAAATGAGTTAGCTGCCAAAATCCCCAAAACAAATCGCAAGTGCTCGAGATGATCTGTCCATGTTTTCGAGTACACCAAAATGTCATCAAAGAGTACTAACACAAACTTACGAAGGTACTCCTTGAAGATTGAATTCATCGCAAACTGAAATGTCGATGGCGCATTGCACAAACCAAAAGGCATCACGAGATATTCGTAGTGTCCTTGGTGCGTGCGAAAAGCCGTCTTGGGTAGTCCTCCTTGGCCAAC